CCAGCGCGGCTGTATCCAGGAAAGCTTGCCCAAAGGTTTCTCTGGAATCGTACCCCGATGACACCAACGCAGCGACACAGCTTTCCGGCAAGCCACACTCCTGTAGAAAGGCCTTCCAAGTCTGCTCAGGCATGGCTTCGCAGCAGCAACAGGAAGAAAGTCAACAAGCAAAAGACTGCCCGAGACGACAGTTGCATCAGCAGAACGCAACGCTCAGACACCGGCACACCAGTCCAGGCAGGAGCACGCGGCACAAGTTATCCCTTCTCGGAGGGTAATGGCCTCACAGTTCCCATCAAGGAACCTAAGCGCAGACAAGGCAACAAGCTGATGCCACAGACATGTTGCGTGCAGACACCTGCACCACGCAAGCTGCCACATCGGTGGCTCCACACACAAAACCCTTCAGGGTTTTAGAACAGGCACTCAAGGCCTACCGCCCCTCCCGGCAGCCGACCGATCGGGGTACTAGCACACATCAGGCACTCGGGCCCACTGCCAAACAACCAGAATGGCTGCACGCCGTAAAGCCGTGAAAGCACGGGTTAACTTTCCATTGCTCGTAATGGCTGCACATGGTCGAAGCGGGTCTGCACGCCAGTGTCCAACAATCGCGTTCTGCACTCCACAGCGCCTTGTGCACGCAACCTGTGACCGTGTTGAGAATCCACGGCCCTGCGAAAGCCTCTAGCTCTTGTAGGGGCACCTGAACATCCTCATCCTCTTGCTGTTCCCCAGGATCGCTGGAGGCAGCAGATTCGGAATCCCGGTCCGAATCCAGGTCGTGAATGATGCCGTCCAGACACGTCTCGTCGTCCGAGGACGACTCTTCATCTGTCGAAACATCATGGCAATCAGCTGTCTCTAGGACAACTGACGCGGTAAACAAGGCCTCATCGACATGTGCGGTACCTCTGTGTAGAGGCACACGCGGTCTCCACCCACGCCTCAAAGCAGACCGGACTCTGCGCTGGCAACGCAGCTGCGGTGTCACGTCGTCTCTGCCGTAGCGCTGCACACAGTGAGACGCCTGACTGGACCGGTGATGCCCTTGCGCTGACCTCAACGTTTCGGCAACCCCCAATTGGCACGCCCAGGACAACAGTGTGGTCTTTAAAGAATGCAGAGAGAATAGGCAGGCGAC